ATCACACAATATGGTTATGTTTGAATATTTTTACTGCTTAATAACAGACAAAGTGGATTTTTTTTTTTTTTTTTTGGAATCAAAGTGCTGTTATGTGGATTTATGGTTTATAAGGTTGGCAGCGTTTCTGAGTACTTTCTTTTCCAAAGTACATAAATATAAAGTGGTAAAAGTTTTGTTTTTAGCTTATAAATGTAGTTAATCATCTGTTCAAACAATAAAAAATTCTATTTATTAACGGCCAAGAAATGTTAGGGAGTTTTGGTTTTTCTTTTTTACAAGAGACTCATTTAAGTCAACTGGATGAAATGAATAGACAGTGAATATCACAATGGTTTAAGGGGGGAATCGTGGCACACCAGTTGATCATGTGGAACTTCAGTCATTAATCCATTAAAGTCAACTGCCTCCGAGTCTTATTTAAAGGTCATGGTCTTTTTTAAGGATTTCGTTGATGAGGAAAAGAACTATTCATGTTTGATCCATCCAGCACATGAATGGATGTGTGCTCACTGACTAGCGTGCTGAAGTATGTTCTCTGCTTGGAATTTGTAACACTGAGCAGTGGGTGGGCAATAACGTGCGAGAGCTCTTGTGGGCTACATGAGGATTTGTATTGATCATCCTGTTCTTATATCCTGTTTTTTATCGTGGTTACAATATATGCAAACACGTCAGGCAATTAGACATGTGAAGACCTGGTTCTGCTTGATTATTTGACTTCCTGCAACTAATAATGAGATTTTTGAAAGATTTAGTGCTATGCCATTGAATGTGAAAGAGGATCGGAGGCCTGTATGTGCAATGGAGTTAGGTGTGGTAGCTTAAATTTGTCCTGGCATCCTTACTGAAGCCTCCCTGTAGGCACTATCAGCTGTAATCAGCACTGTTGCCAGAAGTAACATTGCAGCATCAGAAACATGGGTGTTTTAAAGGTATAGCCAGGGGACTTGAAGTGTTCACTTATTTGTTTAACTTTAAATTAATAAAGACCCACAAGATTCTTTTTCTTTTCTGAGTTATTGTTGAATTCTGTTATTTTAACTCTTCTTAATATTCTTCATAAACACTGCTGGTATCCAAATTACATATAACTACTTAGGAAAAAGCTATGTGTCATCATGGCACATTGAAAATACCCACTTACATGCACAATAGTGGCCTAAAATGAAATAAATTCCCAGGAGGGTTCAGAGGAGAGGAAAGAATACTTAAGATATAACTTAACCATTAAACAGTGTTAGGCGTACACTTTGAACAATATGTTCTCTTCAAGTTGATAGACTTTCTGTTCTCTTTTTTGTGATAATAAAGAACTAGAAATGATCAGCAAAAGTTAAAATTATGCGCAGGCTGTGACCTTCAGATAGTACAATAATGGTTCCTAGCATAAGAGTGAGTTTTGATTCTCAGAAAGACACAGGATATACAATGATTTTGAAATTCCTGGAAGAGTCCAGTTCTTCATGTTATTTACTACCTCTTTCCAGTAAGACCGTGGCTGTGAGAATAAAGCAAGTTAAAACTGGCGCATACTTGACCTCTGTGGCACTGGTTTCTCCTGTACTCAGAGGCTGGCTCATAGGCCCAGGTGCTGGGCACTGTTCAATGAATAGGTGACCCTGAGATCAAACTGAGACAGGGTTACTGGGAAGGAACAACAGCATAGATCTAAAAATTAGTAACCGCTATGATAAATACTTTAAAGGATTGCCCTGTTGAAAGCTTCAGTACATGCCTCACAATGTCATTTAACCATCAACTGTAACTGTATAAAATGAAGAATATATTTTCTATTATATTTGTTATCTTAAATAAGAAAATGTATATTCACTTAAACAATACATTTCTAGTTATTTCCAAAAAACAGACTTACAGGAACCAGGCCTGCACAGGGGCTAATTCTGTCTGACATTGTTCCTGCCATTGTATTGATTAATTCTAAGAAAGGCAGGAACCAGTAGGCTTCCTGAATAGTTATAATAATAGTATGAATAATAAGATTATTAGAAGTGAAGCAATTGTAAAACTTTCAAATGCATTTGAATTTGTGCTGCTTACTTTTTTGTGTTTCTCTTTTTGAACAAATTGCAATCCCCCAGCCATTTTCAGTGTGATTTATAGACTGCTTTTGCATGCAGGTTTCCGTACACGTTACTGTGCCGCATTGCCTGTGTTACAAATACTACTCATAATTTTTGCATGTCTTTCCTTCAGAACATGGAAATTAGCACTAAAGCCTTAGGTTTAGCTTTAGAAAAAGCTTTTTTTCAGTCTAAAGGAATCTTACAGTGTCACTTTCAATCTCTCCTGTGAAAGTTAAATTTCTTTCTCTTTCTTCCTTTTATGTTCAAAAACTTAAATAATTTATTACTGCAAAGGAATGTGTACTGAATCCAGTAACCAACAGAGGATGTGGAAAGATTTATTGGGAGAAACATTAAGAGCATTCCTGGCCAGGTGTATTTTATTTCTTTTTTGTGCAATGAGAAAAAAAAATACACATCTCCAGCCAACTTCAGATATGGATGGAAGCCCATTTGGAAAACAGTGTCTGTAATTGTAAAGTGCTTCTTGAGACAAACTGAACAAAAAGTCATGAGGGCTGCAAAGAGATTGGCATTGCTGCACAGCAAGCGATGTGTTGCTAGATCTTGAAAGTGACTGCAATGTTTGCGGTCTGAGTGGGTGTACACACATGATGTCTGCTCTCCTTGTACATTATACAGCAATTTAATCCCATGGGAAGTGAGGGAGTGAAACCCCTACCAAATTGGAGTAGTGGATTCTGCGTTCCTCTTTGCACCCTCGGTCCATGACAAAAGGTACTGGAGGAGCAGGGCCTGAGGACAGTTCGGCACTCCTTGCTTAACTGAATGGGAGGTGTCACTCAGTAAACAGCAAGACACAGCTGTAGTGAACATTTTTGCTCTATGACAATTTTTTAGAACACTAATAAATAATTTTACTGCACATTAGAATATAGAACATACATTTCTGAGGAGTGTAATCTTTTGGGGGGATTACAAATTGTAACACCTTACTTATTTGGTGATTTTTAGGACAAAACTCTAGTCAAATAGAAATATCATTCTTCCATGAATGATAAGAGAATCAGGTATAATCTAGCTATTTCTAATTCTATCCAGTTACCTCTCTGGCTTGTTTCCTGTCATTTACTTAAAGCACAAAATTAATAAGAGCATTATCATACAATAATAGGTTGGAAGTGACCTTTAAAGGTCATCTGGTCCAACCCTCCCTGCAATGAGCAGGGACATCAACTAGATCAGGCTGCTCAGAGACCCGTCCAGCCTGACCTTGTTTCCAGAGATGGGAATCTGCCACCTCTCTGGGGCAATCTGTTCCAGTGTTTCACCACCCTCATCATAAACTATTTCTTCCTTATATGTAGTCTAAATCTACCCTCTTTTCGTTTAAAGCCATTGTCCTATTGCTACAGGCTCTACTAAAAGGTCTGTCACCATCCTTATTATGAGCCCCCTTTAAGTACAGGAAGGCACTATAAGGTCTTCCCAGAGCCTTCTCTTCTCCAGGCTGAACAACCCCAACTCTCAGCCTGTCCTCATGGGGGAGGTGCTCCAGCCCCCTCATCATTTTCTGTGGCCCTCCTCTGGAACCACTCCAACATGGAGAGTGTTCCATGGCCACCTTTCCCCTTTCAGTTTTTCCTCAACCCCAACTTTTCAGTCTCCAGCTCCCTTCTGTGCTATCTCAGTAGGTAGGTCCCTTCAGCAGTAGCCTTATTCCTTAAAAAGAAGGTTTTAATGTTATGTTTTTGTATCAGTTGTTGAAACCAGTTCATCCTTCTCGATTAATCCAAGTTTCTTAAACATCTTCTTCCTTGATGCAGCATCTTAGGAAAATAGTGGTGAAAAGATACAGAATCAAACTGCTCCATCCTCCTGCCTCAGGCATCCTGTTTTACATGTATGTGGGTCTCATGTTACAGGACCCTAATGTTGAGTTTCCTTAATCTGTCCAATAAACTGTTTCGCTGTATATCAGTCCTTAATGTTAAAACAACTTTCCTGACTTCTTATATCCCAGTTTAAGTTCCCTTAAGCCTGTTGCTTCCAATTTTATCCATCATGTCTGTGGACAAGAGCTCTTGCTTTCTCTTTGTATCTCCCCTTCTGTGCTTGAAACTCTTCTGGTTTCTCCCTAGAGTTTTGCAGACCTTTTTCTCCATTGCTTCACATAAATTGTTCCGTCCTATTTCTCTCTCTAGGGACGTGCCTCTGCCTGGCTACACTTATTGATATTTTCCCAGTGTGCAAATGAAAATGTTACTGGTAGCGAGAGGCCAACATTTTATAGTCAATACAATTGAGAAAACTTGGCAATTAGACAAAGGACTCTTTCAAATGTGAGCTGGAGTGCTCAGTTAGAAGCACAGAATCAAAGTCTCATTTTATTACTTCTTCCTGTGTTGGGCTCTATACTTGCCTATCAAAACCAGACTAAGTTATTTGATACAAAGATCAGCCTAACCTACTGAAGTCCCAGTGTTTAAATGTCGTTTGTGAGTTTAAGGAGTTTGTAGACTACAGATGGGATTCAGTAGGTGCTTAAAGTTACAGGTCTTTAATAGTGCTACTCAATTAAATCCTCCATTTTGTTCCAATGTTTTCAAACCCAAAATTCTGACTACTTTTTAGATTTTAAAAATCAGTTAGGAAGCAAGTGACAGAACCAAGCTTCTATTTTTCTGATCTCTGGATAGATGACATTAGCAGTTACAATATATTCCTTAAAAAAAAAAAATCTTTTTAAGTCATCATGGAGATTGAAAAATAGATATTACTATGAAATTGTGTTTCCTTAAAATACAAATTTTAGAAGTTCTTCTAATAAGTACTAATATTTTTTTTCAATGATCATATGATAATTTTGCATACTAGAAAATTGATTTTAAATATTTACCTTTTTCACTTTTGTTAACATGTTGTTTTCCCTGCTTTCTTTTTTTTCCCCAGGACCATTTGGTGCTTCAGAAGATAGTAAATTCTGCTGCTGCTCTTATCATGGCATTAATAAAGGACAGAAATCCGGAGCTGATTGGCCAGCTGTTGGTAGCATAAGACCATAAATCATATGTAACTTTTGGAAATGTTTCTTTTTCATCATCCATTCACCAAAGGTCTTGAATCATTTTACCCTTTGATGAAAACTATGAATTTCTGACATTTATTATTAAGATCTTTTAACAACATATTTTTGATACTTAAAATTCAAGTCTGATGTTATGTATAAAGTGTAAAATGAAATACAAATCATTCTGAGATACACTGGGTGCATACTGTGAGGAGTGATACTGACATATTTTTGTGAGGTACCAATCACTTAAAAAGGTGCACAAGACACCAAAGCATTCATGCAGAATTATCTTTAAGCCATGTATGTGTGTTGTACTCTAGGACTGCATGAATTAAATTTTATTTAAGACAAATAATCATAAAGCACAGCTCAACTTATTTATATGGTATTATTTTAAAATTGCTACTGTACTTATTAGTGAATGTAGAGTTCATTATACAGTGTAGCCTTCCTGACGTGCAAGAAATGTTTGAAATGTCCTCCTCGTCCTCCATGGAGTGAAAGTAATGTTGAATCTAAGAAGAGATGTGCACGGGGAAAATGAGGTGCTAAACCCCAGTTTTCCAGATGCAGTATGCTCTGGCTGTAACACTCCTTAGTGCTACACTTCTTCCAGTGCCCATGTACCATCATTCAGAACTAGTTCCAGTAGCTCCACTGAGTACTGTATTACACATACTCTTTGTGTTTGCAAATGCATGTACATATGTGCATGCTATGTGCATATGCATGCTTAAAGAAAGAAAAAAGGGTTAAGACAAAAAAAAAATGTTTTTCAACCCAATCTGTAGGTTATGGAGAAATAGGAAGATTCTGTTAGTTCATCTACAAGAATACAATTTTCATCTCTTACTGGCTAGCATACATATGTATTAATTAGTAGTGAAGAGGGCTGAGTGTTATGAGTTCAAATATATGTTACATTGATATTCAAGTGTGGAAAGTTGTGACAGGAAGGTGAAATGGTGAATGGTTATTATGTGGAGTATCTTAAGGTATCACAACCACTAAGAGCAATAGAAGAGGACAGTACCTGAAAACACCTGTCCCTCCCTATGCATCAGACTCAGGAATTCCAGCTCCCCTTCAATTTGTGAAGGGGCTAGGTTAATGTCTTACATACCTGCCACGATTGGAATAAGGTCTTAGAGAAGTATCCCCACCAGAAGTGTCCAGTGAGTCCCCCATTCAGTCTATTCTAAGTGACAGCATTGTCAGTTCAGCAAGTTTCCCTCTGAAACCAGCATTCATCCCCTTATTCCCACCATGTTCCATCCACTCCCTCTGGTGCTCAGACAAAATTTAGGATAGCATGATGCATGCTTGGTCCCCTTCCACTTCCTATTTTCCTTCACCTGATGGTTTATATCTCTGTTTGAAATCCCCTTTAGAAGCTGATGTTGTTCCCAAACTTCCTTCATTGCACGATAAAAGAGAGTTGTTAGCTAACACTTCTATATCCAAAGCACACGTTTTCTTCTACACAGAAGTTATCATTAGACAACTAACAAAGTTCATGTGCATCATCTGCTTTCTTTTTGCTTCTCTCTCCTCTCTAGTTTGATTAATAATTTGTCCTTTTCTGACATAGTACAACATAAGCATTCATATTAGCTCTGTGTTTGGCTATACAATAGGTATATTTTATTTATATATATATTCATGTCTGTTCATATGCAGAGTACTCAAATAAATGAGGAACTAAAGAATTTATTATTGGTATTCATAATTTAACAGGACAGCTTTCACAAACAGGTTTTCTGAATTCACTTTTACATTGATAAATTTAATGGAGAAATGCACCCTACAGGCTTTTAAAAAACACAATGAAAGATGTCTCTTGACTGTATTTTGTGATTCTTTTCTTGAAGACTAAAATATAATCTGTGATGTGTTTTCCCCACATAATAAGCAAGTGAATTTAGAAAATTCTTCGTGTTTTCCATCCACTCTTATTTATACATTGTGATACTGCCTTAGGATTGATTTCTGTGTAATTTACCATATGCTTAAACAGAACTTTTACTTTGTAGGGTTGTTTTACTTATCTCATTCTATTAAAAGGATTTCAATCCAATTTAAAATGTTACTGCTATGAACTCTTGTAATGAAAAATTATATTATGGTTGTTTATGGACTTATTTAAATAAATGAACAGACAACACACAACAAAAAGTTAAGTTTCAGGTCATCAAACATACTTAGTACTAATCTTAAATGGAAGATAATAAGCTTTATTAATGTACTGTTAATCACTGCATTATGGATTTTTTTAAAGATTATTTTAAAATAATCTACAAACACTGAAAAATCTATTTTGCTGGAAGCAAATACACCAACAACAGAACTACTAGAACAGATCATGAAATACTAGAACTGCAGTAAAAAAAAAAAAAGGAAAAAGAAACTGGACTGTGATTAATGCTATTGTGTATCCAAACCAAATTTAAATGGTCTTTTGGATGATTGTTAATACTTACAATGGGAATAAAGATATAAAATGAAATTAAGAAACTAGCTGATTGGTTTTTGTCTGTGCATAACTTCTCACAAATAGCAATATACATGAGAAACTTGGCAGCCTTTTGTACACACATGCTGTTTTGAATTTAAGTAGTGAATCAGTCACCACCCATATTGCTTTGAACATTTGGACAGAGATAACACAGAGTAAATAAAAGCTCAGACTCTGCCACCCTTGCTTACCTTACTCCTCAAGCACTCTAATTAGTATTCCTTGGGTATTGTTCATCAGAAAAGAGAATATAGAATATTGCCCTTGAAATGCTTTTCATAATGCTTGTCTCTAAATTGGTGAGACATGGATTTGACAGATGGACCACTTGGTGGATAAGGAATTGGCTGGATGGTCACATTCAGAGAGTTGTGGTCTATGGCTCAATGTCCAGGTGGAGAGCAGTGACGAGTGGCATTCCTCAGGGGTCAGTACTGGGACCAGCGCTGTTTAACATCTTTGTTGGTGCCATGGGCAGTGGGATTGAGCGCACCCTCAGCAAGTTTGCTGACAGCACCAAGCTGTGTGGTGCGGTCGACACGCTGGAGGGAAGGGATGTGCCATCCAGAGGGACCTGGACAGGCTGGAGAGGTGGGACCGTGTGAACCTCATGAAGTTCAACAAGGCCAAGTGCAAGGTCCTGCACATGGGTCTGGGCAATCCCAAGCACAAATACAGGCTGGGCGATGAGTGGATTGGGAGCAGCCCTGCAGAGAAGCACTTGGGGGTATTAGCAGATGGAAAACTGACTATGAGCCAGCAATGTGCGCTTGTAGCCCAGAAAGCCCAACTGTATCCTGGGCTGCATCAAGAGAAGTGTGGCCAGCAGGTCAAGGGAGGTGACTCTTCTCCTCTACTCCACTCTCATGAGACCCCACCTGGAGCTCTGTGTCCAGCTCTGGGGCCCCCAGCATAAGAAGGACATGGACCTGCTTGAGCAGGTCCAGAGGAGGCCCACAAAGATGATAGCGACCTGGAGCATCTCCCTTAGGAGGAAAGGCCAAGAGAGTTGGCGTTGTTTAGCCTAGAGAAGGCTCTGGGGAGACCTTGTAGTGGCCTTACAGTACTTAAAGGGGGCTGCAGGAAAGACGAGAAGAGATCTGTTTCAGGGAAGGTAGGGATAGGACGAGGAGTAACAGTTTTAAACTGAAAGAGGGCAGATTTAGATTAGATATGAGGAAGAAATCCTTTCCTGTGAGGGTGATGAGACACTGGCACAGGTTGCCCAGAGAAGCTGTGGCTGCCCCCTCCCTGGCAGTGTTCAAGGCCAGGTTGGACGGGGCTTTGAGCAACCTGGGCTAGTGGGAGGTGTCCCTGCCTATGGCAGGGGGTTGGAACTAGGTGGTCTTTAAGGTCCCTTCCAACCCAAACCATTCTGTGATTCTATGATGACTGCAAAGTTGAGTGAATTAGATTTGTATATTGAAACCAACCCACTTCATGCAAAATCTGAAAACTAAATTATGTCATATGTCTTAGATCAGTTGGCAGAAGAATTTCTAGTTGTGATCTCTTCAGTTTTCTTGGCTACCTAGCTTGAAACAGATTGTTTGATGGTTCTCTAAAAAAGGGTGAAATAATAAAAAGTATAGAAGATGATGGAATTAAAAACAAAAAAAACCCAACCCCAAAACCAAACCAGACAGCAAAGAGAAACAAATTGAGATGTGACGCTATTGTAACCAGTGGTGTAACCCTAGTTGACTTTAAAACATCACAATGAGGCTTTTAGCTCATCTTGATAACTAAGGTAAGCTGTAGAACAAAAAGTGTGTCTGGATGCCTTGAAGCTTTTGGTACATTCAGATTTGTATTTCTGTGTGACGCCAGAGCTTCATCTCCACAATGCTGTTCAGGTGCCATTCAAACATCAGCTTCCAAAGACACTTAAGTTTCCCGATTACTGCTTAGTACTTTCTGATCATACAGCAACTTTTGCTGTCTATAGATCACTTTACCAGGGAAGGGTCATTGTTCGTTTGTGCTGTTCCTGTCTCAGACACTTGCTACTGGTCACTGCTCTTTGTTGAGGTTTTATTTCTGCAGAAAAGCACATTTACTTCCAGACATATAATAGGTTTTTTATGTCCTATCTCCTTCTTCTTCATCCATAAATTTTGATCTGAAAAATGATAGTTCTTATCAAGCAGCCACCAAAATGTACAGACATGTTTCCCTTTGTTCCTGTTAAGGAAGGTTTTGGGGTTCAGGAATAGGCTCATGTTAACAGTGTTCCTGTAGGAGCCAGAATTCTGGGCAAGAGCTACCTTTGACCTGGCCCAGTGTGACTATTCTGATGACTGGGACATATAAATGGTTGGTAGTGGTAAAAACTGTGTGTTATAGGATGAACTGACCCCTTCACAGTATTAGTAGTGCCTTGACCTTATGGTTTTTAAGCTTTCTGATTATTCTCTCTGGTCCATATGACAGATGCACTAGCCTTATTCCTGTCTGACTGGAAAAAAAAAAAAAAAAGTAGTTATTAGATTAATTAATTCAGATGCATAGTTTACTAGACAGTCAATTTTTCTCTTTGTGGAGGTAGTGAAAGAATGGTATTCAGAGGAATTTCCTCTTGTTTGTTTCAAAGATCACTTATTAAAACCACAACTAATTCTCACTGAAACAGAGAGCTGCTGAGACTTGTAAAAACAATAACATCTTTAAGGGCTCCCACTGGTAAAATCTGTTATGAAATACTAAGATATAAATATATATCTTATCTTTATCTTATAGAAATACATAATTATGATATAAAAAGAACTTTAACTATAACTACATTATTTAAAGCCAATCTCGAAGGGCTGAATTCTCAGAAACTAACAGACTCCTTTCATTATTCCTGCCCAACTCAATCAATCCAATCTTTTGCACCTGGTTTTGAATAATTTGTAATGGCACCCAGTTTGATGACTGATGGCCCACTCTGGCTGCCTACAGTAAGATACCAAGGCAAAGTATCAAAACAGGCTCAAACCATTGTGCCCTCAATGCCTGTATTTTCAGCTTCAGACTGGTAAGTTTTTATGATGTCTATCTCCCTTGGCCCATCCCTCAGCTGGGTTGTTTGCCACAATTCAGTTTGTACTGTGCTTCTGGCAAGCACCAAGGGAAAGAAGCAGTCACTGACGCTGCATTTTTCCCAGTGTAAGTTGATTTTGATTGACAGGGCTGTAAAGCACTTGTTGAATATACATTTTCCTTGGTTATTTCTTCCAGGAATACTCAATTGGTTTTGAGATCTGAAAAACACAATTTCGTCGCCTGTGCTGAGGAAACAGTCCCAACTGTGAAAATACATTTATGATAGAACATACTTAGCTGGCATACACCAACCTGTGTAGCAAAGTGGCATTTCTTATTACATTTATTCCCAGGTTAATTTAAGTTTTCTTTTCAATCTTTATATTGAAACAGATCTTGTCCTTCATCTTGCACATATTCCTGTCTCAGAAGCTGAAATTATAATTCAGTTAAAATGCCACAACAGTGAATTATAACACAAAGATAAATGAGAGAGTGAGAGACTTGGACAAGGAAAAAGTGCTGTGAATTTAAATAAGATGGAGAAGCAAGGAGGCAAGAGAGAATATACCAGAGCTCCTCCAGATGGCAAAATCTGCAGCAGAGACACCTTGAATGGCATGATGCACTAAGGGCTGTGGGCATGAAAGCCTTCCAGGCTCAGTAGTGCCTGAGATGGCAGCTCAGTGAGGTGCTTCAGTATTCATCAGCCATTTTAGATAATCACCTTCCTTGGATAGTTATTTGTTGCTACTTTCATTACTCTGTCTCCTTCCTTTTGTCTCCTTGCCTCAGACTGGTCCTGTCACTTCAAATTTCATGCTTCCTTTCCATTTCAGCCATTTTTGTCTTCTTCCGTGCTCTTCTCCCATCCTTTCCCTTATTTCTGTTACTTGTTCTTTCTCTCCCTATTTGTCACTCTCTTTCAATTTCTCCCAGCCCACCATCGTTGAAGGAGACAATCCCCCCCCTCGCTTCCCCTGCAAGCCAGGCCGTGGTCTGGCATCAGAAACCCTTCTTCGCTCCTGGATTGAGAACTGAGGCGTTTAGGCTTTGGCACCTCCATGCTGCTCACAGCTGGGACTGAGAACAGATGTCACTTCCGCTGCCAGCTGCAGGCAGATGAGCAGCAGCTGCCCGAAGGGACAGACCTCCTGCATGGCAGCTGCTGGGCTGACACTGAATGCCGCTTATTAGCTGGAGTCGAGCTGCAAGCAGAGCCACCCCACTGAAGGCAAAATCCGCCACTCCAAGGTCAGGCCCCCCCACTTCCCCTGCTTCAGCAGCTGAACTTGGGTTTGTAAAGTCAGCACCTAGTCAAGGAGCCAGATTTGCAAATCTATCAGAATCATAGCAACAATGAAAAGTGAAAGAAAAGAGAAGCCAAATCCAGGTATAGCTTGCAGTTCTGGTGACTGGAAAAAGTGTGTTTTCACTTACTAACCAGTGGCTTTGCCAGGAGTTGCTCAGAGACAAAAAACGAGGAACCCCACGATGCTGTGTTAAGCAGTTCCTTTCCACAGCAGAGACACAGCCTGATTGAAGCCCCATTGAAGTCAATGGAACTGAAAGTTCCTTGCAGTGCACTCAAGAATGCGTGGCATCTCCTCCCTCCGGCCATCTTCAGCGAATTCACACATAACCATGCTGGTTATGCTGGGGTTTTATTATTATTATTTTTATTGTGCTGCAGTTTTAAGTGTGTATTTATGCTGTGCTCAACTCCCTTGTCGTTTGGAGAGGGAACAATACGGTCTTGATTAGTGCCAACTATGTTTTGGAGTTTAGTTATGACTCCAACTTCAGCACCCACAGGCCTATGGTACATGGGGTTATAGAGGCACTTCTAAAGGGCAATTCAGAGTTTAAAAAAATCTCTTTGAAGACTCACTCTGAATCCAGTGACAGCACAGTAAGCCTAAAAGGATGATTTTGTTCTT